AAAAAAAAAAAAAAAAACCCACTGAAGATATTTAATTTGAAAAAAAGTAAGATACATTTATTTTAGTTTGCTTTAGTCAAAGAATAGAGCACTTTCTTCTTAGACTATTGTTCTGAATTTCCTCTTCCATGTTAGGTGAGGAAACTTTGCCTAAGGCAAAATCAAGACCCCTACCTAGCCTTGGGTTTAAGGTTTCACCTAAAGACATTCTTTCTGTTGGGCTGGACTTTAGTAAACATGGCAGAAGGTATTTTTTGCTTGTTTTGTTTTCTTTTGTGGTATGAAAAGATAAAAAGATGGGATATGGCTGACAGGAACCAAGAATTCAACAAGAGCGGCAAACTTGTTTTGTGGAGGGCCAGAGAGCAGCATTTTTGGCTTTGTGTGCCGTGCATGTCTGTTGAAACTACTCGGCAATGCAGCCATAGACAATGCTTAAAAGCATGGGTGTGTCTGTGTTCCAAGGAAACCTTGTTTACAAAAATAACGTGGCCTTCCCCAGGCTGTAATTTGCCAACTCCTAAGATACTAATTTTTCATCTGAACTTTGTTTTTGTTTTTGTTTTCTTCGTTTTTTTCTCCGGTACCGGAAACCGAACTCACAACCTTACGCTTGCCAGGCAGGCGCTTTTGCCGCTGAGCTAAATCCCCAGCCCCTCATCTGAGCTTTGAAAAAAATTTTCAGGTGAGGAAAGCAATTTTCAATTAGAAGCAATTAACAAAACTGAGACTACAGAAATAGGTACTATGGTTAAGCAGCTCAGTAGTGTCACTCAGAGGACATAGATGGACGTGCATGATCATGGGCTTGAGTATTCAAAAGTATTTGGCTTTTTAAAAATTGGTAAAGCTTTACCTGCTGTATCTTCTGTGATGTGTCACTTTAACTTTGTGCTTCCTATGTAGAATAGGGTAGATTAAAATTGGTCACTATCATTTCTCATGAGTGATCCATTGGAAGAGGCACAAAGAAAATTAGAATATCTGTCTCTCTCCCTCCCCCTGTACTTCCCCCTCCCCCTCAAAATTTTTATATCAAATTTTTTATGAAAAGTTTAAATCTAAATACAGGATATTCTAATATCATCTTGAATTTTTTTCTACCTTGGACTTGGAACAAGTGCTTACTGGGGGCTGGGGATTTAGCTCAGCAGCAAAAGCGCCTGCCTGGCAAGCGCAAGGTCGTGAGTTCGGTTCCCGGTACCGGAGAAAAACCAAAAAAAAAAAACAAGTGCTTACTGTAAGGAGTGTGTATTTATTTTAGTGAGGGATAACATTCAGTGATATGATCCATGTGCTACATGTTTCATGCTACTGTGGGACATTGGTTCTAGGTCCTTTGAGTAAGCAGAGTAAGAATAAAAGGATTTCCCTAGAATAATTTCCCTAGAATAATGAAAAGTTTAAATCAAAGTACTGAAAAAGGAATGCTGTGTCTCAGAAAATTGTCTCAGAATGATCAACACTGGAACATATCCTAGTAAAGTTACAGTATTAGGATAAAACAAACAAAAAACAGAAACAAATGCTTTGGTAGAGTCAGGCATGGTAGTAAATGCCAGTAATCTCAGGACTTAGGAGGCTGAAGCAGGAGGATTGCCTCAAGTGAGGCCAGCCTGGACTAGAAAGCAAGACCCTATCTCAAAGAAAAAGCTTTGATAACCAGACACAGTTGAAGGAGAAAATTCAGGGTGGGCATAGATTTTTCTCCACATCAGAAAAAAAGTAAAGCAACACCTGTAAAACATCCTTAAGAAAAAAAAAGTAACCTCAAATTTTTATATTGTGATTCAATTTATAAAGGGAACAAACTTTTTTAATTTTGGAAATGCATCTTGCTATGTAATCCAGGCTGGCCTTGTACTCAATATGTAGCCTAGGCTGGCCTCACACTTGAGAGTCTCCTGCCTCAGACTCCTGAGTGCTGAGATTACAAGCTGTGCCACCACACTCAACTTGGTGTGTGTGTGTGTGTGTGTGTGTGTGTGTGTGTGTGTGTGTTAGTTATTGGGGATTGAACCCAGGCCTTGTTCATGGTAGGCAAGTGCTTTACCACTGAGCTATATCCCTAATCAAACATTTTAAATGTATAAGTGTGAGGATCCATGGTTCTCCAGAGCTTCTGTAGAAACCTGGTAGAGGACAGATTCCAGCCATCACAATGTGACTGGAAAGCTACAGTGAAAGGACGAGCAGTGAGTGTAGATCTTTGATTATAGACTAAAGCGAAAGCATTTGTGAGAATTATGGTAGTATAATAGAGTGTGAGTGCATTAACCTTGTTTATGCAAATGACTTCGCTGACAGAAGCTGATAATGAGGTAATAATGAGAGACTTTTCTTTATCTCTATTAACTAGAAGATATCAAAAAACGCCATTTAAAACCCCCAAAAAATCAAGTAATAAAGACACATATATTTAATAAACTTGGATAGGTAAGGAAGGAAATGGGGAGGAAAAAGACTAATGCAAAAAGGAGAAAAAAACAAACTGAAGTGTTTCTCCTGCTCTCCGAACCCTTCTCAGGCCAGTGTTGGGATTATTTCTCTGCAGGCAAACACTTCTCTCATAGACAGCAGCTGGCTGGCCTCCAGTTCGACTCAGTTCTGACGCTGGCTACCTGGAGATAGCATCAGATCCCACGGGTGAGGATTCAGTTTCACAAGACCATCCCACCCGCACTTTGGATGCCAGTCACAAGTAGTAAATTATCACCTGTACTTCTGACTCAGCTATAAATGAGGGGTTCCCAAGAAACCCTCCTTGGGTTCAATTAATTTGCAAGGGTGGCTCACAGAACTCAGGGAAACACTTTAGTTGCATATACTTGTTTGGTTTGGTTTGGTTTTTTTTGAGACAGGATTTCACTCTTTAGTTTAGGCTGGTCTTGAACTCACTATGTAGCTCAGGTTGGCCTGAATTTGCAGTGATCCTCCTGCCTCAGCCTCCCAAGTGCTGGGATCACAGGCATGCACCATCATTAACCAGCTTATTGTAGCAGTGCTACAGAAGATACAGATGAATAGTCAGTGGAGGAGGTACATGGGGTGAGGCATATGGGAATGCAGTGCAGAGATTCCATGTCCTCCCTGGGAACCTTCACATACTGAGCTGTCCAGAAATACTCCAGACTCTCAACTTCTGGATTTTTACAGAAGTTTCATTAAGTGGATATGGTTGATTATGTCATTGGCGATCAGCTTAGCCCTCCATTCCATCTTCACTTCGCTGATACTGAGTGGTGGAGTTGAAAGTCCCAACCCTGTAATTGTGCCTTGGTCTTTTGGTTTTTGTTTTGTTTTGTTTTGTTTTTTTGTTTATTTTGTTTTTTTTCCGGTACCAGGACTCGAACTCACAACCTTGCACTTGCCAAGTGGGTGCTGTGCCACTGAGCTAAATCCCCAGCCCGCTGCCTTGGTCTTTTGGATGACTGGTCCCCAGCCACTCGTCATCTCCTTAACATAATTGCAGTACTGGGGAGACTGAGACAGGAAGCTGCCACAAGTTCAAGACCAACCTGAAATACATAGTGAGACCTTGTCTTTAAAAGAGAAAAGATTCCAAGGGTTTTAGAAGGTACATGTCAAGAAATTGGGAGGAAGACTAAATATGGTACATACTTCACAATAGTGTTACTAATTTTATTATTGGACATGGTTAGGGATTAATAGATACTGAGGAAATTGAGAATTAAGACTTTTACATTAATTACTAGGTAAGTGCTGGGATTGGGAAGTATTAAGATTTTAAACAGCATATTAAAGTTTAACCTTTCTCTTCTTCATATAAGGTAAAATAAAAACAAATTGGAGCTGGATTTATGGTACATGGCTATAATCCCAGCTATTCAATAGGGTGAGGCAGGAGGATTATGAATTTGAGGCCATCCTGGGCTACATAGTGAACCTGTGTCTCAAGAATGATGAAAGAAGTTGGGCGTGGTGGTACATGTGTATAATCCCAGCACTCAGGAGCCTGAGGCAGGAGGATCGCCATGAGTTCCAGGCCAACCTGAACTACATAGTGAGACCCTGTCTCAAAAAAATGAAAAAAAAGAAAAAAAAATTTAAGAGGAGAGATGAGTAGTTTGGGAGTGTCTGAGACCAGTGCCCCACTTGCATGTGCTGCCCTGAATGTGACCTCTGCAAGGTGCACTTGGGAGCCGAGGTAGCACTGCAGTGGGAGAGTACTGCGAGCATCTGGAGGCAGTGGAGAGGTCCGGTTAGGAGAGCACTGCCGCCGGAGCCACGGGGACACCTGCCGCTGAAGAAGCAGTAGTGGTGATCATCCCTGGCCATACACCAGGCCCTTTCCTGACTTTCAGACTTCCCATGAGCTTCACAAGCTTAGATAATACTAAGCGGGGAGGGAGCTTGGCATGGTGGTGCACACTTATAACCAAAGCTACTTGGAAGGCTG